AACTTATATTTAGCAATAGACATAGGTCATATGATAGTACTATCTATCACTTTGCAACGGCAATAGTCCCACCCTGTTAATAGGGTAGATATTAACCACAGCTTGCCAACCGGAAAAGGTCACAGGTTAACTTCAGGACAATGAGAACATGGTCCCAATCTGATAACCTGATACCAAAAGGAGGAAGCACGAACTTATCACCTGAGACGTGCTAACGAAGGAAAAAAACTGGTTTCCCCTGTCCTTTTTGAATTAAGCTAGCTGATGTAATAAAAATAGTAGCCAAAAAGCCCCTGCAGAGAAAAAACTAAATAAAAGGCATTGTCTCATGCTCTACTGTGCTCCAGCTGCAACACGCTGACAGCCTGCAGAGAGAGAACATGCATACTGATGCATTGAGGTCTCTGTCTGAGTTTGTTATTTTCACCGACCCTCCCTCTCCCTTTTCGGGTACCCACAACTTGACTGGAGCTGGTCTCCGGCAAATATATGAGAGGGGATTTATTAGGGGAATTGATTCACACAATTGTGAAGGCTGAAAAGTCCCTGCAAACTGGATGCCAGTAGCATGGCTCAGTCTGAGTCTGGAAGCCCCAGAACCAGGGGAGCCAGTGATGTGATTCTCAGTCTGAGACCAAAGGCCTGAGAACCGTGGGTGCCAGTGGTGTAAGTCCTGGAACCCAAAGGCTGGAGAGTCTTGAGTTCAGATGTCTACAAGACTGGAGAGAAGAGTGTGTCCTTGCTCCAGCAGACAGAGCGAGAGGTTCACCTTTTCCTCTGTTTTTGTTCTCTCCTGGTCTCTAGCAGACTGGATGGTGCCCACCCATATTGAGGGCGGATCTTTCCCGTCCCATCCAATCAGGCTTACATGCTAATCTCTTCTGGAAACACCCTCATAGACACACCTAAAAATAATGCTTTACCGGGTTTCTAGGTTTTGCTTAATCTAGTCAAGTTGACACCTAAAATTAACCATCACAATATTAACTTGTTTCTACTGTTAAGAGAACTTTGATTGAAAGGTTAGAGAAACATTGTATTAGATTACATTATGAATTTTGGTGGGGGGAGGTGGGTGCTGGCCAATA